AGATGCGACAGTTCAGTTTGTTGACGTAGCCATCAAGGTGCAAGTGATTTTTCAATAAAATTTTTATAGTGAATTTTGATAATTTTAATGCATTGTTGAGGCGTTTTTAATACTGTTGTAGTTTTTACTTGTCAAATGTAAAAAAATTACTGCTTCAAAAGTCACATCTACCGGATTTAAAATAACACCACATATTGTGTAAACTGTCTTTTTGGTAAGTGTAACGATGATTGTGTATATACAAAAAGATAAATAAAATTAAGATCAAGATTTTTGAGAAGGCTAAATAATGAAATAATTTATTTTATTTTTCTTTAATTGGTTAATTATTTATTTATAAATTATATGAGGTAATGTACATATGTATACAAAATACAAAACTCATATCTATGTATATATGCAAGCAATCCCTCGACCAATGAAGCTGTCAATTTTCCAAGGGTGTCTTTGAATCCAAAGAACTTGCCAAGAATGTCAGCATGCTTTTTACAACTAACTTCGGAATTTGACCCTATTCATGGTTGTGCAAAAATAGATTACAGCGCGGAAAATTCTTTGTCCCTACGAATTCCAACGATTATCTCAAAGGTAGCAATTCAACTCAAACATTGTCAGAATGGCATTTGTAATAAAAATCAATTTGATTAGACTTAAGGATGTCTGTTTGTGGCTTAGAATTTGGCACATCATAATTTTCACACGGATAATTATATTGTATGCCCTCGCCTGCACTACTCGGATCAGCTAGCATTTATATAAACCTTAATGACTTTACGTAATTTATTTTTTTAAATAAATTTAAGAAAACAAAATTTATCGATGTACAATTGTTTTCAACCAAAAAAAAATATTTTTAATATTATTACATATTTTTTTCATAAAAAAAAAAAACATTTAAATTCATATTTCAACACTTTCGATAGACGTGTATTTGTGATATTAGGTTGCACACGAACTCAGCTCTTCCTTGCTTACTTTCATCCATTATGAATTCTTGTGAACACTGAAACAAATAAAAATGGACGTTTGTTTGATTGCTTCGGCTGTACCCTTTAATCCTATAAAACCTTTTTCTTCTTGCGAATACCAAAATACTCGTAGATAGCGTCAATGATGTCCAGTCAATGAAATATTTGTAAATTTTTATTGACGGAATTCCTTTTTAGCTGGTCCTTCTTGGTGTTTAACTCCCTTTTGAGATAAACAAAAATGCGCATTATATCAGTTTGAAAAGTTAGTTACATTTCCCCCATTCCGTTTGATAACATCAATATGCACATTTACTAGTATATACACACACATTTACACTATACACACATTAGTTTTTATTTATTCAATCAGAAATTGACATCGATTGAGGGAAACTTAGTGAATGCTCGAATGCAAGTCAAAGGTACATATACATGTGCATAACATACATACATCAGGCTAGGTCTTTCCACCTCACGTCTTGTATATGTATATATAGACATATAATACATGACGCCTTGGTATCTTTAAATAAAAGAAAATAAATAATTGCTTGATTGATTAATTTTGATTATCAAAAACTTTTTTTACTATCATTTCATATTTAAATTATAAATATGTACATACATATGTACGACTTGTACTCTGCAATAACGGGCTGACCCTGCAAACATATTGGAGTAATCCTGCATTGGAGTAATCCATTAGGTGCAGCTCTCTAGTTGACTATTGGATTAACTCACCTCTCACTGCCACCCTGCTGTTAGCCGATGATTGCTCGTGTTTTAACGATTGCAATTACTAAACGAAGATGCATTTGCGTTATAAGATTTTAACTCGTATACGGTAAAGGAACAATTATGTCAGTTTCGATTCGTTGTTGAGCTCATCTGATATGCATAAACTTGAGCATGCTAGGCGTGATCAGAAAACGTCCTTTATTTTTAATTTTTTCAAAAAGTATTTATGTCTTGTCCCCTTCAAAAGTAATTCCCCTCAGATGCCAGCACTTTTTCGAAGCCTGGAAACACTTCCGAAACGCGTTTTTTCGTATCGTCAATAGCGCCTGTTTCGATTTTCCTTTTATTTCGTCATGATGTCTTCAGTTTTGGGAAGAGGAAAAAATCAGCGGGGACCAAGTAAGGCGAATACGGTGGTTGAGATGTGATATCAATTTTGTGTTTGGCCTGAAACTCACGCACAAGTATCGATGTGTGAGCTGGTGCGTTATCATGGTGCAAAATCCATGATTGTTTTCTCCACAATTCTGTGCGTTTCGGACGAATTGCTTCGCGCAAACGCATAACTTCTAGGTAGTGTTCCTCATTGACAGTACGACCTTGTGGCAAGAATTCGACGATTATTTAAAATCATTTTATTCACTGTTTTAATGTTTTCATCGGTTGTTGACGTGCTCGGGCGACCAGGCCGAGCATTGTCATTGGCATCTTCTCGGCATTCCTTAAATCGGTTATATCACAATTGAACTTTTGTTCTGCTCATAGTAGACTCGTCAAATGCCACAGTTAACATTTCAAATGTTCTTGCGCATTTAATTTCATTTCTTTCACAAAACTTAATACAGTTTCTTTGACCACTTTTTCGAATAGTAAAATATCTAAGAGCACACCAAAACACGACTAACCTTTTTATCTGTCAAAAAAAAAAACGAAAATCCAAAATGGCTGATTTTATCAACATATGTAACAGACATATGTACCAACATAACAGAAAATAATCGAAAATCGAACATTCGTACGAGGTGTGACAATGAGACTGATTATATTGCCACTATTGTGGTAATCCTACGACCTTCTAATTCCCCTTCCCTTCTAACGGTATGCTCTAGCTTGATTAGTTCGTGCCCATGTGTTTCGATGACATAAAGAGTGTTAGAACGAGCGTGAAAGCGTGGCAGGCGATGCGCGGAGCGGGAGGCCAGTCGAGGGTCGGACTTACACGAATAATTACCGTGGAATCGTCCACAAAGAATTTCCTCCATCGGGGCAAGCCGTAAATGAAGTCTCCTATCGCCAAGTACTCGAAATATTGCGAAAACGTGTTTACAGAGTGCCCCCAGACATCGCATTGTAACTGGATCCTTCATCACAACAACGCGCCGTACCACACCGTTCTCAGCGTTACCAAGTATTTGGTCTTTAAAGGGATCGCCGTGTTGCAACAACCGCCTTATTCGCCCGATATATCACCCCATGGCTATTTTTGTTCCCTAGAACAAACCGAGTGTATTTCTGACATGAAATAAAAGCTTCTCATAAAAAAACATCATATGAAGCTCAGGGCCGCCGAGAGAAAATCGGGGCCCGGGGATAATTCAAATGCCCCCAACGACTTAATTTCATGATCTAACAAATATGTTTAGTTGTACTTACACTGCAAATCAACGAGTTGGGGATTAAGATAGAATAGAATTTGAATAAAAATGAAAATGAATGAGTAATCTGGAACAATTTTTGTTTAAACAATTTTATTACCTTAGTTTGCATCACAATAGTATTTTAATATGCAGCAACCCTCAAAAATATGCCTTCCTTGCTTTAGCTGATGCAAATTCCTCAATGATAATACCGTAGTCAAGTTTTCAAGCTAATTGAGATTCCAAACATAACGTTGCCAGTCCTGAGACTCGAGATTGGCTTGAACAAGAACGATGATAGTTCTTTATTCTTGAAAGTACGCTCAATTATCGCTCGGCGCTAGCAACTGATACTGGCAACGTGCAAAATATCCGCAGAGCAATGCAGATGTTTGGAAACAGTGTATCTAGCATTCAACAAATCGAATGGAGACAAATGAGTTGTACTACTCTCAGCAAAATTAGCCTGATAAACGTTTTTTAAGTGAATGATTTCGCACGATATTTCGATTGACACATCAGCAGAGTATTTTTCAGCAAAACGTACCGCAGCAGTCTGAACTTCTTCTACTTCCATTTTCGGTAACAACAACAAGAATGAAAACATGTTGTTGATTGCTCTTATTGAGGCAAATCTTTTCCTTATTCCCTCGATCATCGAATCCATGATAACGAAGAAAGTGTTACGTTTGAAACCAATTTCTTCATCAATATAATCTTCATCTGAATTTTCAGCTTCAACTTCCACTCGTTTCTTTTTACGACTCACTGAGAATGTTGACGTGGTGGTCATCAAATGTTCGGAAACTGTTCGACATTCTTTTAAGATAGCATTCCACAGGTTGCGTAAGATCTGCAGACTATCTAAGAGACTTTCGTGATTTTTGACTTCAACATCTATTGTGGCTTTTTTCTTTTGCAGAACCAAACTAACGTAATTAATTGCTGTAAGAATCTAAGAATTCCCGGGGGGAAAAGCCCCCGACCCCCCCTCTCGTTGGGCCTGATGAAGCTTATGGTGATGATAAGTCCATCATCCAGTTTGGTCTGTCTAGAATCCTTGCGACCCTAAAATTATTTAATAGGCAACATTTGAAGTTGTTGAAGGGTAGGTGGCAACATTACCACCGGAGCCTACTCGTCCGCCTTTTTATTGCTTTTTACACCGTCTTGCCTAAAACAATTGATTTTCACTTTACGAGTTCTCGCAGTTGGTGTTGACTTATTTATTTGTCATTTGGTTGTCTCCCAACTGTGCCCATTTGTACAGTTGTAGTCATTGAGTTTGAAGCAACCCTAAACCCACGCATAGGCTTAGCTACTACATAACAGTCTTAGATCTTAGATCTTAACTGGACGGTTATGGAGAAAAAGTGGGCCTGTCGATACCCAATATAAATCGGGCAGTGTCGATCTAAAAAAAAAATTATCTGAAAAAGGCGTCAATGCAAGGTCTATAAGACGACATGCCTCCTTCGGGCCGCACAGCATCTATGAAAGTATAGTTCAAGACACGAGTCGCTTCTGCCCACGACCCTCAGTATCTGAACGCTCCTCCAACAGTCCCGCTTTCATCATAGCTACATGTGCACTCCATAAATTTGCCTTGTCTCGAAAATAAGCTATGCACAGAAAGAAACTTTAATTTAACTGTGATTAAATTCGCCTACATCTCTTCACTTTTATTGTCAAAAAAAATTCTATTTTTAAATGAAATAAGGACTTAAAAAAAATTGAATTTCCAGGGGCATATAAGTGTATATTCGAACGTAATAATGCAGTCATCAAAATATCTATTTACACGTCTTATTGGGCGATTAAGTGCGCGTTTAACCGTTAATCGTCAAACCCATCGCGATCAAGTGTTGGAGCGCATTGGAAAACGTGAAATTGTCGGCTTTGGTTGGAATGGATCACCTGGCTATCATGACCGTTTGGATTATCCAATGCCACCTATTCGTTTTCGCGAACCTGATCCGGAGATTTGTGCTTTGCGCGAAAAAGAGACTGGAGACTGGCGGAAATTGTCTATTGATGAAAAAAAGCAGCTCTATCGATATAGCTTTCGTAAAACATTTGCTGAAATGAAAGCGCCTACTTCTGATTGGAAGTTTTCTGTAGGTGCATGCCTAATTGCTTGCGCTATAGCCATATGGATATCGCAGTCCTATGCTCATGGGGTATATCCAGATTATCCAGAAACATTTGAGGAGAAACGGCGTAGTGCACAGTTAAAGCGTTTCATTGCTCTAGAAGCTAACCCAATTACTGGTTTGGCATCAAAATGGGATTACGAAAGAGACCGATGGAAGTAATTGATGCATACATATATATACATATATAATATTTCTGTCTGAAGTGTAATAAAAACTTCTATGCAATAAAATCATACCTAAAATTTTAAATCGTTCCTTAAAGTACTGACATCCTATTCATATTCTTAGTGAGCAAAGATTTTGTTTTCCAAAACACTCTAGTGTTGGCGCATTAATCGAGGGTTTGCAATGAAATTGCCCTTATCTACACACCTTCGCTGTGCAAGTCACGTTTTGGCGCCATCAGAAGGTTTCCGGTCCTAAAGGCGGTGTTTTTACTGGCTTGTAGCTTCTTTATCTGCTTTTTGCTAGTACCCGGTGCAGCATTAATTATGACCGGTCGGTTATTTGCCTTGTATATTGCTAGGAACGTTTCTTTGTGTTTTCCTATGTGCTGCCTGGTAACGTTTTGAGTATTTTATTGCAGCCTAGAGTTTTGTGGAAATTGCAGTCTTAGATTTTTCGTCCAGCTTGTGAAGAGGGTAGCCGAGGGTTTTGCTAGTGGTAGCCTTGCAGTGAAGAAGGGAGAAAAGTCGTCGAGATGGAGGAGAGAGTTTCGAGATATAAAATCTAAACAGCAGTGGCGAGAGGACACCACCCTGCGGAACTCTGCGTTTAATGTTTCTAAGCTTCGATGTTTGGCGTCGAAATTCTACCGATGATCGACGACCACTCAGGTATCCCATGGTCCACCTCTTAAGCCGCAGGGATAATGAGGATACCTCAATGTCCGATAGTAGCACTGAGTGTTTGATCGATTAAATGCTACTAGAATAATTCGCGCGCAGGGCCGGTTTTGGTTGATCCCATTGACTATCTAAGTGTTTATGGAATTAAGTCAGTTGTGATGCTGTGTCCTTTAGCCATTTTTCACATGTCGGAGATAAGTTAAGGACCTATGGTGAGAAGTTTTCCTCCCGTTGCCATAAGGACGAGTAGAAGTTTTCACCATTGAAGGTAAGCGTTTGAGAGCAGTCTTCGGTAAAACCAAAATGTTTGTGAAGCGCTAAATTTGGATTAGATATTAAGAACCATTACCTCCAACTTCTGGAATACATTTGCTTAATGTTGCTGAACTGAAGTTAATTAATAATTATGAGAAAGTTTGAAATCAAATGATTCTTGTCATTTCCAACTGTAAATAAATAAAGTAAGGCTTTCTCTCTTTGCAAGCTCTTGGGCATTTCTAATTCGAATTCAAACTATATAATTTTTCTATGGAATATCGGTCGCCCTCGATGAAAAATCATCCCCGCCGAGTGTATTTTTGACATGAAATAAAAAGCTCCAGTTGATCGGAGGCGGCAGAATACACGGTGTGTCCCAAAAATAACCGAACTTTATATTTAAATCATACAAAATACAGTGCAATCTATTGAAAATTTGCAACATTAAAAAGATACATGCATCCTCTTTCAAATGCACCTAACATCATGTAAGTCGGATGACAACGTCGGACAACGGCCCCAAACGCTCGTCCAAATATGATACCACTCAGTTGAGTATGGAAAAGATCGATATTTTAGATTGACCAGATCACAGTTCTAACTTAAATGTTATTGAAAACTTATGGAATGAAGTCGAAGACTGAAATCAGAAAAACAAATTGGACAATAACACTCGTCTGCAACGAAAAACTCCTTTAAACAAAAATATGAATCTAGATCTGTTTTTATTTTTTTGGTATTACGTATGTATATATTCTTTTAAAAAAATTAATTGCTTCAAATTTTAAATTTTTGCTATGCGTTAGCACAACTTCATTTAGTTGAAATAGTGGTTATGCAAGTTAAGATAACAAATGGAGTTCCATCTGCAATTCCTTAGACTGCAGTGAGAGGTTTGATCTTTCACGCGATAACACACAGCGTGTTGCGTGTGCGCTGCACCATTTACACTCGATCACAGTGATAGTGTACCATCAGTCACAAGAACTAGGTTTTTCTGATGAACCCAAAGAGTGGCGACTTTTCATTGATTCGTTTAAAACTCGTTCAAGAGCTGTCCTACGTCATATTGCCAATAAATATCCTTCAGTTTCTGTTGCACATACAACAAATATGAAAGAAAATTATGTAAATAAATATAAAGTCGTTTTAGGAAAAAATTTAATATCCACATTATATGTAGAACACTTGCGCTGATCTTAAAGTTGTACCAAAGTTAACTGGCCTACAAGGAGTACGTATATACAAAATATTGTTGTTTTATGTGGGAGTGGGATAGTCGGCCGAGAAAAAAACACTACATAGTAAAAAGTTGGTCCCCCAGAACGAAAATGATGCCTGGTTTCAAGAAAGTTAATGAAGAACCTTTAATTCGAAATGAAAAAAATTGTCTTCTTCCACTTCATTTAAAGCTGGGTCTTATGAAGAACCTTTTTAAGGGGGGAACTTGGTTTAGAGGGTCAAAAAATCGATTTTTTGAAACTTGTCTCATTCGATTAGAAATATATTCAGAAATATTTCAACAAAATTTCAGAGTCAAATTCCTATTCGTTACGCAGAAACGGCCTCTGATAGACAATGCACTCAGGAGACTGATAAGCGTGGACGAGAGCTTCGAACGCGATTTTCTCAAAACAGTGTTTTTCTGTCTGAAAAGTTGTAATTGTCACATTTTCATAAGTGATACCTTTTTTTACAGCCAATAGTGTAGGCCTCTATGTGAACCTTAAAAATCACAATAAAAAATATAAATATATAAATAAATTATCTTAAAATTTCTTCAAAAAAACGCAAAATTTTGTATGAACAGTCATAAAATAAATCATTTTATACATTTCTTAGAATATATTAGGTTCACATAGAAGAGCAACTCCTAAGCAACAAAAAAAGTATTCGTTTTTATGTTTCAGATGAAAACTACGATCGCTATCGTGTTTACAAAATAGACTCTTCGAGCGAGATGTGCTACAAACAACTACGAATTGTTATTGCTATACAGTATCAAATAAAGTGAAAGTAATTTTTTTTTGTAAGATTTGTGAATCTATGACCTATTTCAAAAGCACTTGAAACAACCTAAAACACTGTGCCGAATATCATGCAATTTTCTGCGTTCTAAACGACAAAATTCCCCCGAATTAGCGATGCAAAATTAAAAGAAGGAAGCTTCGTGGGTCTCTATTAAAAAAAATTAAATAAAAAAAAATTTAAAATTTTAAGAATATATTTATACATGTTTCAAGAATATACCGTGAAATTTTTGAACAAAAAAATTAAATATTTCTTAAGTTATAGTCGATCTCTAATGGCGCGAAAAAAGGTGCTTCCCTGCTGCAGTAATTCCGGCCTTCTCCGTGGATGAAATCTTAAAAAATAATTCTCGATAAGATAATATTACCTGGATCTCATTTGCGTTTCTTCCCACCTAACCTTTGCTGGCTTGTTCGTCGCGAAACTCCACTTGAAAATATGAAAAGTAAGAAAACTACAAAAGAAAATATTTGAATGTTTTTACATGGTAAGTAATATTGGATTATAATAATAAAAAAAATATATGAATAAAATATTAGTAGTCTAGTGCAGTGAAAAAAAATCCATTATTTTTCCAATCAATGGCGTTATTTATCTATTTATATCTCGCGTTGTATCCGATCTGGTTCCGCTAGGTGTCGTTAGAAATATGACTAAAAACGCCTTTCTGACAGTTTTGTGATTGGTTGATTCAGTTTTATTTAAGCGTGCACCAAAGATGGACACCAGCAATGAGAAAATCCGCTATATTTTACAGTTGTTCTTCGATAGGGGCGAAAACGCAAGCCCGGCGGCTGAAAATGCAGTTCATAGTCCTGATACTGTTACAGTCAATCATGCACAATTTCGGTTTTATTCCGGTAATTTTGATGTAAAAGATGCTTCACGGAGTGGAAGGCCAATTGCATTTGAATAAGACTGGATTCGAAAAGAAAAAATTACACCACTCAATTTCATGCAAAATAATGGATTACTTTCTCCTATACCTAATATAATATAAAGCTAAAATATACGTGATAGAAAATTTTTGGCACCATGTTTCTATTGAGTACTATTGAATCAATAATCTGCTGAATATCGGCTACATCTTCGCTGACGATCGTCAATGTTCATCGTCACTTTCATCGCTTCGTCTTTGTTTAGATATTCTGTACAAACAATGCAGGCGAAACGAAACCTTTGTGAACGGGAAATTTTTTGTTTTCTGAAATTTATTTGTGAAATTATGGTTTTTCAGTTTATTTGTATATTTTTGATATTCGAATTATATGTTCAAGCTGTGAAGTTTGCTTAAAGTAATAAAAGCGGTTTTGAATAAAAAAAGGAATAATGTTCTTTTCAAGCGATGAAGAAGAGAACAAAAATTTAAATGTGTGATATAATAATTTAAAGTAAGTTTCATTCTCTCTTCGCAGTCGGCTTCATAGCTATCTGACAATAAACGTGTTTTGACTTTTTCGTTCTACCCTCTTCTCTTAAAAAAAATCTATTATTTTTCAAAAAAATGATGTGCTGAGTGGAATTGATATAATTATGTTTTATTTCAGAGATGTTTCAAGGAAATTTTGTAAGCAAACAAGATATTGTTTTAATAAAAATATTTTAATAGATCCATACGTGTATACAATATTTTCTTATCTGCTTAGAAGACAACCACAAATAGAATTACAAAATTTCCAAGTTGAAAAATGTATAATAGGCAAACATTTCTGAGCAAACACGTTTACAGGCCTATTCTGTCGAGGTAACAAAATTTACCTAGGTATTAAAATTTAATATTCAGTAAAAATTTTTACCATTTCGCATTCTGAGCTCACTTTTACCCTGTAAATTTTGTTACCAGCGAAATAGGAGGCAACAAAAATATCTGCGGTTTTATTTTGTGTTGTAAATTTGAGAAAAAATAAAAAAAACAAAATGGGCATATTTTAGGCCTGGGATTCATTGAAGATGAAGAAAAAAGAGCAAAAAGGCGTAAATTTAAAGAAGTTTTCGAGAAAAAAATTACCCATTTACTTTTTAAGATGGCGTTTTCATTTAGCTTTTCTTTTCTTGTACAGGCATACTTTCCATAATTAGGTTCAAATACATTAATGATTTAATAAACAAATTAATAAAACTTTTTAATTTTTTTGTGCACCGTCTTCCATTTCGATATGAATATTTTTCTTTTTACTTTACGAACTGGCAAATGTAATTTGACAAGGACTAAAAAAACAGTGCGGCCAATTTTTTTTCATCAGTTCGCCAGAATACCAAATTCAATTTCGGGTGTTAAAGAAAAGTAACAAAATTTACTTTACCGGTAACAGTGAGAATAGGCCTGTTAGTGTCAAAAATTTTGAACTACCCTATAGAATTTTTGTATCATGTTTAAATGTTCATCGCAGACTGTGGTCGTAGTTGTCGAATTTGTGCTATGCGAAATTCCAGCAATTGGCACACAATCTACTGATAGAACATCTATTCGACAGGATTTCACGGTTGACACTTCAGGAACTCTCTATAAATCTAATGCCATACCATAAATACCATTTGCTTGTTGTTCCTGACTCTTTTTTGCCGTTCATCATGTTGTCTTCACTTTAAATTAGAAATCTTTCCACACCTAAAATTGTAAAAATGTTAAAAGAGGAAACTTTTGCATTTCTTCAAGTATATACCGCCATTCTGCACAGGTAATCCGAGCGCATTAATTTTTTTGTCAATAACTTCCCATTCTTGATAAAAATACATTTTCCTTTAACTTTTTCTTGTATTTCTGGGTTGTGCCATTTATGTGTCCAGCTTATTTCATCGCCTTTTCCACAATTCCATAGGTTTTGTTGTGTTGTTAACTTGAGCTTATGTTATTATTGAATATAATATGAAGAATAAACTTTAAAAAAGCACCAAAACATTGTTGATTGATGATGTCTTTTTAACGACGCAATAGCATAAGTCGACTTAAAAAATTTGCCATTTGCCATTGGGTAAATATTCGCAAACACTTCAGGATTGTTATATATATATATATATAGATATATATGTATGTACGATAATGTAGATAAGCAGAGTAGGCATTCAGGGGAAATTTAATGTAAATTAAATGCAATTCCATTTTTGCACAATATGTATGTATGTTTATTTATCACGTTTTTGCATTATTGACGACATAAAACTACTTTGTATGTATGTATGTATGTATGTATTTTTGTATATTTATAGTGAGCAATGCAGAACTGAAATACAAATGTTTACTTATTAAATATCATGAATATTTGCACATATTATCTTTGTGAGGGGTTGGATTTTTAATAAAAATAATACATTCATTATCAGTTACTTTTTACAATTAATAGTCGACATATGTATATAATGATGTATGTATGCGTATGTGTGTTTATATTACAATATTTAGAAAACAGAGAATACAAGAGCTCTTTTTTACATTTCCGCAAATTAAATCCTAACGGGCACAGACATGTTAAAACCATTTTTTACTTATTTATGATACAAAAAATAAAAAACAAGCCAAGATTTGTTAATTCATGCAAATCATAATAATGAAGATTTCTGGCACACGACAAATACATATTCTTAACAAAACTTCGGGACTGAAACATTGAACTTTTAAGCACAATCTGTGGCTGAAGCATAGTAAGCACGCTCAGTAATTTGGAGATTTTTATTATTTACTCGGATCTTATGATGGTTTTGTCGAAATTGTTGCTGGGATCCCTGCTACTCTGGGAAGTGGCAACATTTTCTATTTAGAATAACAGAAAACTGCTGTTGTTGCTGTTATAACGGCAAAAATATTACTCAAAGTAGTTTTTGGAGTATATTGCGGGAGTGGCATTGGCGTCATTGGCCGTTTAAAAAATCAGGGTCGTTCCGTTATAAAGACCCGAATGTCTCGGGAACTATTGGATTTTAGTCGCCTCTTACGACAGTCGCCCCTCGGCAACGAATGGCAACCTCTTCGTATGTATTTTGGACATATAAAGGCTCATGAAGGAAAAAATGCCAGAAAATGAGAGCAACCCCTTTGCATGATTGTGACAATTTCCAGGCAAGCAACAACAATTAGCTGACACATTTTGGACTAAAAACTTGTTAAAATTATCAGAGATGCAAAGATTTCATTCATCAATATAATAACTTTAATTTCCGATGGAAAATTTATATAGATTTGCTGTTTATTGATTCAAATCAAGAATTGCAGAAATTTGTGAAAAGTTTAAATTATTAAATATTTATTGTAAAATACTTTTGTAACGAAACAGTTTTTTGCGACTAAGAGGACAGTTCGAGTGATTTTCACTCGTAAAAGTGCACTACGTTTGTTGGTAAAACTAATTTGAACTAAATTTGTATAAACTCATAATAGTAAAAAAAAAAAATTAAAAATTAAATTAAAAGTTTTTACTGCTACATTTAACATACATATATATGGAAACAATTATATGAAGGTAGTAGTGAATGAGGAATGTAATTAGATAATTGTTGCGAATATTATTAAGTATTTTTTATTTATTTACTACTATACTATAAGTATTAATAATAGGATTTGTAAACATTTTTTGCCAAGTATCACTTTTTATTTTTATAGCATTTAATCTCACCACTTATGGGTGTAAAAGCTAACCATATACTAAACAATACAAGTATTTGCTTAATAATACACATTACATCAAACGTTGAAACGATCAATATTGAACTGCCCTTCTTCTTTATACATAATTGCATCGATTTAAATAAATAATTGAATATTCTAACTTGCTTTATACTTTATTTTACTTTTATAATGAATCATTTTTATTATTATTACCATTATTATTTTTAATTTTATTATTAGTATTTTATTATTATTAGTATTATTATAAGAGAACTAATAGCGCTCTAAACGCAAATTTGTTCTTGGCAGTTTTTATTTAAATAGTTTCATGATTTATTTTAAATTTAATAATATAATGTTTTGCCAGTTTTTATTTATCTGTTGCAACCTGCCCACTACAGTCGATTTATGCCCTAACCTCGTTTGTTCACACCTCTACCTATGCATTATGAAGAAATGCAGAAACTTACGAAGTCAGTAGAAGTAAAATTTCGACGCAAACACATTCCAGTCTCGATCGATCTTAAAATTTCAATTAAATTAACAAACTAGACTAACTGCGATTATTATTGTACATAATGTGAACATTGTAATTTGTTAATTCAAAGTGTCTACCTTCGTAACTGCATCGCATTTCTTCAAATAATTATCTATTTTATTAAGAAAAAAAAATCGGAGTTGTAGTCTAATGATTCAGCTGAGGAGAGTGAATAGTTAAGAACAGAATTAATGAAAAGAATTCTTTTTTAAGGTGCTGTGAGAAGTAGAAATTTTCACACAAATTAAATTTCTAGTGCTGCATTAGTAGTTTTCATATATTTTTTTAAAATTATTTGCCAAAAATTTGAGTATTGTCAATAATACTATACTATATAAGCTAATTTCCAAACAAATTAAAATTCAATTTTCTTGATATTTTTCATGCTATGGTGACTGCTTTTGCAATTAATTTTCGAAAATTTAAACTTTTACATGCAATTTGAAATTAATTAATTGCTACGTCTGACGGCATCTTTACTTTCTAATTAAAAAAAAAACATACATCGTTAAAAAAAAGAAGGAAATGTTTATCATATCTTAATTATATGTTTTTGCTTTTACGTACTTAAGATCCCGTTAAATTTTGAAGTGCATTGCACTTAATCAAAATAATAAGTAAATTTGTTGGATATAACAACATATGAATATTTTTAAATATTGCCAACAGTTTTCACAAAATTATGATACAATATTACAATTAATTTAATTAATTTAAGCTGTTGATTATTAATTAATTGATATTACTTGGGTTCTTCGTTTTAAGTTGTCAATTATTCTCGGTGTAGTAAAATTTGATCGGCATGAACTGTTTTTCACCAAACATTTGCTGCTCTAAGTAATAATTAGCTTCATTCTTTGGGTTAAAAACTCAGTTTAAAAATTTCAACATAATTGGTACAGCAGTTTTAAATCATTAACTAAATACATATATGTATACTCACGAAAGAACTACGATTTAAATTGTTACAGTTTATTTGTTTTAGCTTTTTGTTAATTTTATATTGAATCATAAACGACACTTATATTGTTTTCCTCTCTGTGTTTCTGCCGTTTTTACAGCTAGCTAACACTACTCGTCCAATAAAAAATAAATTGTGTTTGGTTTTTCCTTTAAAATTTGTGTTTTTAACATATTTTCATTGCAAGCAAGAAGATGCGATCGTAAAATATTTGTTTTTTTTTCATTTATTTATGAAAATCTAAGAACCAACCTTATGTTAGAATGTCACTTAGCTTGTTGAATGTATTCTCCATGAAGCAATAAATAAAAGGTGAGCTCATTAGGACTTCATACACCATACTTGAAACAATCTTGGCTTTCCATACATACAGTACTGATGTGTTAAAAATAAAAAAAAATATTTTTCCTTGTATTTCAATTAAATTAAACAAAAATTTAATAACGTTTAAATGTTAACAAATAAATATTTCGCATTTTCTACGACTTTATGACCACAATGTGGAAGCTTTCCATTCGGAAATTTCCCTAATGAAGTCCCCCGTTTTTTATTGCATCATGCGGAGTTCACTTCACCGCAATTTTTAATTATGAAAAACTGTTTTAACTGACTGCCTCTTGTTTGTAATGTAATATATTTTTAACGAACTACCGTTACATATGTATCTAGATGTTCAAGAAATGTATACAATAATTGCTAGATTGATTATTTTCACTTAGCTTAAAAATAACTCTTTATAAACATATATATGTGCACATGTATGTATGTAATTAAGACATTCAAATGAAATTTTACCATATTATAGAGTAGCATATGTGTAAGCATATATTTTGATTTTATTTGGTTAAATATTATCATCTGCGCATGTTTTCTCGCTTCTTTAAACTTTCGATGTCGCCTGTTCTTGAATCTTACTTACTATTGCTTGTTATTTGTTGTAACAGTATCTATTCATATTTGGGTGTATGTAAACTTATTTTAACATTTTATAACTTTTGACATCAAAAAAGGAAATAACATGGTATATATTATTTAGTGTCTGCAATACAAAAGCACCTACAAAGCTTAAGAGCAAACTTTTTAATGTAATTGTCATTTCAAATCCAATTTAACAATGGTAACGTAAACAAAAGAATACTGTATTTAATAATATTGATATATTTTAGTGAAATATACAATTCTTCACCATCATTCTTCGCCAAAACGACTACGCATGCCATATTTTCGTAGTTACTTGCTGTTAGAAGTCTGTGAAGCTATTTTTTCCCGTTTAAAGAATATCTATAAAAATGTTTTCTTGGATATTTTAACAAAAATGAAGCAATAACAAATAATTTCGTACACTTTTAATCCGTTCTCGAATAAGTCGTCGTCCAAATAGCGCAAGGCGACTTTAAATTGCAAGCAATTAAGATGATAAAGATAAAGGCTTAAAATGTTTCTACTATGCGAATCAGAAATGATTTTATTGTTATTATTGGAAATTTATTCATTTACGTATGTAGGCTTTAAAAAATTTCCTCGGGAAGTGCATAATTTCATTAAAGCGGACGCTTACAATTCTCATTGTTTAATCAGTACATTTTTTCATTTCATTATAATAGTTAAGCTCTGCTTACAGCAGAAATGACGGTGACGGGAATAATCTACTACATATATGAGTCTAAGGAATTGTAGCTAGAATATTTAAAGTACCGACACTGGCAGTGACAACGGCAACTATTCCAAATTAACAACTACACAATTTACGTGCCAATTGTGTTTCCATTTGTATTAGTTTAAACGTTTACGCTCTTAACTGTGCCATCCACTTTTACGTTTTGATGAAATCATCTTAATATGATTCTCCTTTGAATTTTACCCGATGCTATCTCATCATTATTCCGAATAAAAGCCAGCAAAATTTGTAACTGGCTTATAACAGTGAACTTCAGCAAGGCTACTTTATGGCTAGGACTGTGATATTGCTTCTTTTTAGGTGTTATTTAAAGAAATACATTGACAGAGGAAAAAGTTGTGTATGTAGGTATGTCGGCGGAGGAGCTTGTGGTTATGTTTATACAGCTGTTTATTATGAGCACGCATGATTTAAATCCTTGAAGGTGCTTGTTGAAGGCGGTGATAATTATAGACTTAAATTTAAAGTATAAATTTAAATGTATTTTAGGCATTTCACTTTCCTTTAACTCTGTTAAGTTATTTTCGTTAATGATAATTTTAACTGTGTACATAGAAAATTCATCTTAAATATTTTCCAAACCAACACTAGCATCACCACTACATCGTTCACATCCTTACTACATCAATTTCGTCCATCAATTTCAACTGCAGCATCACTACTACCATCTTGTATAAAATCCACATTGTCCTCTGCATTAGAACGCACTGCTTTCGCCTTCCGACTTCCCCATGCTACGTTTCATCATACGCCATCTGCACCGTTGCATAATTCTACAACATTCGTTCAGTCCCAACCGTTTTCCTTAATCATATGGGCTAATTCGATTATGTACTTGCCTTCCTTGTATTTTTGACTATTCTCATAAGCATGCTCATACTTCCAGCCTAATGGTGTTTTGCAGCAATCACAGAATATATCTGCAACCGCATGTAGGCCAGTGAGTAGCACACGCTCCTCGGTTTGACCACAACCGACATTCACCACCGAATTGAAGAGATAAGCCGGCCCTTGACTACCTTGAAAGGATTTGGATATAAGCTCATCGTGCGATGCCAAATGCGCACGGCAATGAACACATGAGTACGTTCGATTTGTGGACGGCAAATATGCTTGAAATGTCTTCACCATGTTGTTTTATTTGCTTTGACGCCCTTGTTATGTTGTTAAATGACGCAAAATATAGAAGAGTTCGTAGATCAGTGGCTTGAAAATGTTTAATTATTAGTATAACAGCTGAATGATGATTCTGCGTTGGTCTCGTTAGGCGTCAATGACCGCGACTGTTACTGAAGAAGAAACAATTTCGAATAAGTTTTGTGTATAAATTGAACATATAGAAATATTTAGAGGATAAAAATTGTGCGGATAGTAAAACACAAGTGCCACTTACCCATAAAAGAAATACGAAAAACAGACTTTTCGCTTCGCTTGCTTTTTAGCGAAATTGCAAACAAAACCCCTTTTAGATGCTCCACTACACCACCTCCAGTGCCACTAATGTATGATTAGTACTCAATTCTCAAAAACACTTGCAACAATTAGAGCAAAAAAAAAACGGAGCCAGACAATCGCAACTATTCAACAACATTCACTTTAGCTTAGTGTATATTTTTTTAGAGTCAGCTAGACTCGCGCGACCATTTGGTTCAACCAGCTCGCGGCTCTACAGCTCAACAACAAGTCAGCGGTATCAGTGAAACGTTGCGCCTTATTTTGTCTGATTTTTCGTGCTCTACAGTTTATTTTACTTATTTGCGTTTGCACAACAATGCTCCAGCTCTCTTTGGTCGATTATTTCTCCGAGTGTTATTGTTATTGTCGATGCTTTTTTACATATATATTTTAGCATTTAACATATGTACATATGTACATACATACATATATACATATATGAATGCACTTATATCGTTATGTGTGCTAGTGAACTTTGTGATAGCTTGTGGTATCTATATCTGCATGCTGATAAGTGATTGTTTTTTCTTGCACCTCCCTTGAGTTGATGCACACAAAGCGACGTATAAACACACAATAAAAAATACGACGTAAAATAGAAATTAACACCTCCTGCAATGTTTTTTTTTTTTTTTTTTGTTTTTGTTTTGTTTTGTTTGACTGCTTATGCTTTTGCTCCAACGACACTGAGTTCTTATCGCCTAATTGTATGTCTGTGAATCTGAGATTGCGAGATAGCCTTTGTCGCAAATACACAAATACTATATGTATATATGTATATATGCAATATTTTGTTATTTTTCAGTCGAATTCATACCAAACTCGTCTGTGGTTTTCAACCAGAGATTAAACATCAAATTTCCTGTAATAAAGTAAGTCAAATAATTAGTACATTGGCAAAGGAAAATATACAGAAATACATATAAGTATGTACAAATATATGTATTTATGTGTAATTAAGCTCAAACATCACAATAGAAATGAAGGAAGCCAAGGTTTGAAGTTGGCTGGAGGATTATGTCCTTGAAATTCACTTTCAAACAGTTAAAGCTTTATGTAATTGAAATATACTTTACTATTTAGTGAAAGCGGCACATTTTGTTTTTACAATAGTCAAACCAATAAGCGTTATTTTAAACTTTAAAATTGTGTTCGAATTACAATTAAGAGCAAAAGTGAGGAATATTCAAAGTAAGACAATTTTAAAGCACAGCAGTCAAAAAAATTGCTAATTTTGCGATTTTGCGTCTTGATATTTTTCCAACAAAATGGAGGGGCCTACAGTTTGTACTAAGTAACCTCTGAACGGCTGAGGGTTTTGTATGAGGAGCTTTACTTCATGTCAGAAATGCACTCGGAGGAGTCGACCGCAATTAGAAAATTTGGCTTAACCTTTTTAATTTAATTAATTTTCTACAACTTTTTGGATGTTAGAGCGACACCCGGATTTGAGCCCGAGTGCGCAATGTAACCACTCGGCTACCGCGGCCGCCTTAGCTTAGTATTGTATAATCTTCAGAAAACGTAGTACTGTTAATCTATTTTTGTCAGTGTTGTTGGCGTAGTTTTCGGATTTTGTAGTTCAAATACAAAAGCGTTAAACTCATTAATATTTAAAACAACAATAATAATGTGCATGGAAGTAAAATAGATGAAACCTCCATTATTTTAATTTTTTGTTTGCGTCATTATGTATCTGCTTGCAGTTAAGCGTTTTGTAATTAATTTGTAATTTGGAAGTAATTTTAAGTTTGTTACATTTAAACTATTTGAGCCTGAGTGATTAAAAATAACAGTTTTCAAGTACAATTTCTGCGATTTAAAACTCTGATTTTGTTGTTAGAACTTAATCAAAAAATTTGGGTCGATTTGGATATTCGGAAATGTTATCATTAAGGGGTAAAACCACTCTAGAGGTTGAAATATATTGTAGGAATATCGGAAAATGAATAGAATTTCTATTTAACCATTTCATTGAACATTTATTGAAGTATAAAAAAATATTCTTTTATTATTATTTTGTTATAAAATGGCAGTAATAAAGTCCATTAATATTTTTTTTAAAGGCGTTCACGGGAGGATCGATTTCTTCTAAAGGAGGAAACCTAGAAGAAAAAAGCAACAGTTTTATGATCTATAAACTATGGTCTTCGGAAGAACGTACGGATTTATTTTTTAACTAATTTTTGTGAAAGCGGCACACTTTTTTCAAGATTGATTTTTGACTAAAAAAATACGCACTGAAGTATGAAAGAAAAAATTACATTTTATCGAAAAACGGCTACGTACTTCCAAAAAAAAATATATATGTATTTGCAAAGCTGCCATTTCAGAAAAATCGATGCAATAGGGTCCGAATAATCTGTGCTTCCAGTTTGAAAAATGTGATTTTGAGAAGAACGCGTTAAAAAGTTTTCATTACACTCAGCGCACGCTCTGAGGGTATGCAGCAAAATAAAAAGTTGAGCCGTTTGAAATATTTTGTTCACTTTAAAACCAATTACATATCATTTCTAGGACCCAAAGCTACTCTGTGAGCAAAAAAAAAAAGCGTTTTCCAAAATCATCGTCAAGCTTTTTGCAACATATAGTAAGACGGGAGCGATGAGTGACTTTTAGAATCTGATTTACGTTCGTCGAGAGAGGTCTTTTTTCAGTTGCCTGTTGGCTATAGTGATTCTGAGTCTCGACGTTTTAACTGTCTACTATGACGTGTGTGTAATTTTGTCAAACTCACAGAAGGCAGAACGAACGACGGGACTGTTAAGACGTTGATGTACATTTCAGCGGCTTGCGTCATGACTTTGAGTCTAAAAAAAAAAATTATAAACATAATATCCGATACCATTCATGCCGATACTAATGCAATATCCTTCTTTTGTTTAATAAATATTTATTAATTTAAATTAAATTTTTAATATACTTGCTTATTGCAAAAATATATTAATGATATGCGGACCGAATATGTAAATACATTATAATAGATATGCCACATGGTACTTTTTCAGTAACGTAATTAATCGAATACGAAAACGCAAAGCACGGAACAAAGAAGCCAGATGTGCGAAGCATGTATAGTGAAACAAACCAAAAGCAAGAATTCTTTTATACATTTTGCATTTACAATACAACGCATGTATGTACATGTTTATGTATATTTGTAGATATACATATAAACAAAGGCGATTCCCATAAGCAAACACCAAAGGCAAGGTAGGCACCAAATATGTTATACACGTATATACATATATTAGTTCAATAAATGCGTTGCCCCTTATTTGATTTTTCCTATTAGGATTTACAATTAGCATGATGTACATACATACATAACAGCGCCTTACAATCGAAGATATTCTATGCTTAGAATGCAACTTTTTTGGTCAAATTGGAAAGGTCGAAATGGATTTCGGGGAATATCTGGTGTTTACATATGTACATACATCAAATATTTCTCTTTGTCCACAAAATGTAATTTCGGTGTGTTTGGTACATACATACATATATACTATATAGCACTCTTATAATAATTTACAATTTAAAATGTTCGTCAAATTAATTTTTAAGAATTATCCTGCACTACTATAATGTAAATTCTCCTTCTTCTTAATAGACGTAGATAGAATGGAGAAATGTGAAACAGCTGCTTGGCACAAAGAAAAGTATCTTTCAGAAAAAGGCAAAAAATCTGCAAGTATTTCAGGATAACTCAAATATTCAAAAAAAATATAGATATATGAAAATATTGAAAAAACCTCATATAAAGGGTGATTTTTAAGCTATTATCTTTTTGGCAACACTAGTTTAAACAGCTGATGAACGTTTCGAGTTTTGTATCACTGTCAAACATCTTCAGTTTGGTCTATCATTTTTGGCTTAATGGGTGCGCAAATAAGCAGAATTGTCGATTTCGGAGTGAAGATCAGCCAGAAGCATTGCAAGAGCTACAAATGCATCCCGAAAAAGTCACAGTTTGGTGCGGTTTATGGTCTGGTGGCATCATTGGACCGTATTTTTTCAAATGTAATCTGAATCGTAATGTAAGTGTGAATGGTGAGCGCTACCATGAGATGATATCAAACTTTTTTTGCCAAAAATGCTGGAGTTTGACTTGCATGACATGTGGTTTCAACAAGACTGTACCACATGCCACATAGCACGCGTAACAATGGACTTATTGAGAGCCGAGTTCGGTGAACATTTTATTTCATGTTCGCGACCGGTCAATTGGCCGCCTAGACCGGTCGATTTAACGCCTTTAGACTATTTTTTGTGGGACCTTGTTAAATCTGATGCCTATACAGACAAGCCCGCTTGAATTGACCCATTGGAGGACAGCGTTGAAGCATTTATTCATGAGATACCGGCCGAAACGTTGGAAAGAGTATACCAAAATTGGACTAAGCGGATGGACCATTTGAGGCGCAGTCACGGTCAACATTTGCATGAAATAACATTCAAACATTAAATTATATTAACCGTACTATCGATTCAAATAAAGATTTCTTTTATTTTTCTAAATTCTATTTGTTTTTCTTTTTTTTGAAAAAATTTCCTATAGCTCTTAAAAAATCAATCTTTATATACATACATATATTAAAAAAAGTTCAAATTGTTAGGAAAAACTTATTTTTATTCCAGAAAACCTTAAATATACATAGGAACCAATTAAAAAAAAAATAGCAGAGTACTTTTATTATTTCAAATTAATTAATAAAAAATGCCCTAGTAATAATTTTTAATTAAGGGGCACACTTAGTGTGAAATTACAAAAAAAAATCTATCTTTTTTCATATTTCGGTAAATTAGACCTTTTCAAATAACATATTATATATATTACAGCAATTTAAAGAGCAGCCGCTCGGCAGCTAGAGAGTCTCATTAGCTCGAGTGAAAACGATCATTTTATCTTTAAACGCGTTTTTTCTTGAAACAACATTTTCCGAATTTGCTGCAGTGATTACTCAAAAACAAATGATCCCATCACTGTCGAACTTTTTTTACATGTTCTATATATAGTTCTCCGCACAATGACCTATCGATTTTTGATCTGATCAAAAAATCGAATTTTGGCAGGCCAAAAACGACCAAAATTTTATGTAGAATTCGATAATTTTTTTTAAAACACCGCCATATTGTCAATTTTTGATTTTTTTATCGTAGGCCATTGTACAGACAATATTATCTTATCAAGAATTATTTTTTTAGATTTCATCCACGGAGAGGGCCGGAATCACTGCAGCAGTGAAGGATCTTTTACTTCGAGCCGTTGGAGATCAACTATAACTTAAAAATTTTTAATTTTTTTCTTCAAAAATTTCACTGTATATTCTTGAAACATCTATAAATATATTCTTAAAAATTTCGAAATAAGTGATAAAGTATTTTTTTTAATACAAATTCCCAAAAATCACCTTTTTTAGGCCCCTTAATCCTCTAACGATGGGATTTATTTAGACTACCGGTTTGTGATTTGGAGCTGAATGAATGAGGAGAATTTTACAAGAGTTTTCAAAATAAATAATGGTATTAATATATATACTTTCATACAAATAAAATAATAATGAAATTGATGCTTTAAGATATTTCTAGCAGTGTTAGGCATCGCTTTCACAAGGATTATTGATATTTTCAAATAACCCCGAAACTGTTTTCATTTCCACTTTATGTAGTGTTTTTGAAATACAACATTTTTATTTACAATTCCCTCTATTTGCTTAGAATTTGTAGAGAAAACTCGTAAAGATACCCGAATCGGTGCTGGGATAATTGATACATATATTATATGAGCATCCTAACAAATTACTGAAAAAGTGCAGCTTTTTCTAAAAAAAAAAACAAAAAAACTCTATATATTGTTGTTTG